AATTTTAGTTTAGGTAGCTGGCAGGATAATGTAATAAAGACAATACTACCACCATAAGACCTGGGATAGTTTCTAACTTGCAGATTTTCTGAAATAGCTGCAAATTTGATGATGACTCATTTAGCTGTTTATCTTTCAGTGTGGACTTAATATTCAGGAGCTTACTATATGGACATCTTTCAGAAGAAAATTATTTACAGTTTCAAATTTGGATTTTCGCGATCATTCAAGCAACAGTATTTAGAAACAAGCTTTTGGGAAGATATTACTTCCCTGTTCATTATTTCAGTCAAAAATTAGCTATTAGAAAATAGAAAAAAAATTCATGCAGAAAACTTCTGGGTGACAAGATACTTACTTGTACAACAAATACAAAGACCATGATAAACAGCTGATTGCCCACATAAGCTTTTATGTTATGTGTTATGATGCCCAGAATAAGAACAAGGTCAGAACAGAAGAGTAGAACCTGGTAAACAAATTACTGCTTGTGAAATTGCTCAGAGAGGCAAGAGCAGCCATATGGAAACACACTGGATAAAACTGTATCGAGAAAGCAGACTATGAAAAGTTTCATTCAGACACTCAAATACTGCTGTAAAAACTTAAGACTACCATCAATATAAAGCATGACTGGCAGGAGATAGTAGCTCAGTCCACTTTGCTCCCGGCCACAGTTTTACCCTGATGCAGCCTGTGTAAACATGCAAGCAGATACAGCCTGGCTGTCACTGCAACAAGAGAGACAAAAGTCAGGCAGATCAAATGAAACAGAAGACAGTCACTGCTGAATCCCCCCAAATCCCTAAAAACAGAATTAAGAAGTGGCCTAGGAAGCTGCTGAAGCTACCATCTATCTGTTGGCTTACCTCCTTGTAAAGCAACAGGGAAGAAGGGAGCATCCCTGACGCCAGTTGTCCCAAAGGACTATGCAACATCTCTCAGTTTGGACAATATCTCCAGTTTCTTCAGATATTCAGCATTTGTCCGTAATTGCTGGGAAACTAAAATTCAAGTTTACGCCTGTGTGAATAAACTCTTTGCAAGCTTGTAATTTATTTTCCACTGCACTCATTTACTTTTGGTCTTCTACTTTCTTTTTCCAACTGCATGTAACTATGTATCTACCTATGCTGAAAAATCAATGCTTGGATTACCACTAAAACTACAGAGCCTAGGACAGGCTTACTAGTAAAAGTCTGATTTTAAAGCAGAAGAGAGAAATAGTGCAAAAAAGATCATAACTTCCTGACTTACAGAGCTGTGGCTCTGCCCTCTGGCAGCCCAAGTTTGCTGTCTTTCAGATGATACTGGAAAGCTTAGATGTTTCCAGTATGAATTATGAGACAATCTCAAGTGAACAGCAGCAGCCACCCACAATTAGTATTACACTTCTATCATAGAACACAAGCAAAAATGAACTGCAAGGCAAACCCAGCTTTTTCTCAGCATTATGCTGTTGCTCAAACCAGAAAGATACGATGATTCAGCCTAGCTCTAAATTTCCCTGCTTTTTTATTTGCCTACATTGTGGGTTTACAATTCTTTTATCAACTGGCAGTAAAAGGGAAATATTAATATAAACTTTGATGAACATCATAATCACTTCACAAACCAGAAAGGTAAGACAATATAGCACGGTCAACAACAGCAAACAAGATTATTTGGAAAAGACATTACCAGTCAGGATTTTTTAATGCGTACATATTCACATTGCTGATTATTCAAGCAATTACAGAATATGACATTCAGATCTCAGGTTGCTTTAACTAAAATATATTCCAATTGTTTGCTTTTATCAGCAAAAGTAAATTTCAGGGGATTAAGTTTCAAAACTTTGAGATAATTAAAGCAGTCTTGCTCTTTTTACAACTACAAACATCACCTTTCAGAAATATAATTTATGCTGAATCTTGAAAGTTGAGAACACTTGAAAAACAACTTGCATTTTGATATAATGACACTACAATTAAAAGACTTTCTGATGCAAGACTAAGTTGATCTCTGGATTAAATTTGGTAAGCAGCAGTTTCTAAAGATCCTGTATTTAGTTTCAAACACACTGAAATTAACACCTCATCCAGGAATCATTCTTGCCAATAGTCCCCTCCAGACTACTGTATTAGTCCCTAAAGACTACAGACTAGAGCACTAGTCTCTAGGCCCTACAGAGTATGTACACGTTCTACAGGATCACCTCTTAAGTTAATCAGTGCATCCTCATTTCCTTTATGCTGTTGCTTTCTAAAATAGTTCACAAAGAAATCCTCAATAAACACATATACACACATATTAGGTCAGTAGCTGATCTACAGACATATCAACTACTCAACAGTATTTTTCCAAATATTTGAATTTACTAAAATTTCAGTGCAAAAAAAGTGCAATATATCAAAGAAGGAATTTCTAAATAAAAGAAGAAAGAAAAGAAAAAGAAAAAAAGCTTTGGAGAACTCTAGCTTCTCTGTAAGGCATTCTGTGTTCAGCAGATCCTCACTTTCAGGAGATACCTCTGCAATCAGTTCCTGGCTCTCTAGAGAAAGGAAATCTATTTGTTCCTTTTTCTGGGAGAAAACAGTCACAGAGTGTTTTGTTGGCCTGATTGAGAAAGGAAAGATTGGAGAATCGTTTGCTATCTTTTGGGTTCCATAACCAAAAAGATGACATGGCTCATTCTTTTCCTTTTTCCCTTCATTTTTTATTTGCTGTACTTCATTTTTATTTGCTTATACATTTGAACTGAAACCATCAAGCACTTAACTGATAACCACGTAATTCCTTGATGTGTGTGGCTTTCCTTCTTCAGCAGGTCAGCCTATAAAATTATTGGTTTAAAAGAGTTTTAGATGAAGATACTATCAGAGCAGATGTCACATTTTAGAGACGAAGGCGCCATTTGGAGTCTACTGATAAGAGCTTGTACATTTTGCATAGGAAGCTTCTAGATGACTTTATGGCCCTAGCAATAGAGAAAGGAGATATAGGAAATCCTACTTCTGTTTTATTTTTCCTTTTTGATACATGGAAGATGGAAATAATCCCTTTTGGCTATTAAAGTGGTTCAAACACGTATTTAATTTTAGCTACTCTGGCTCAAGGCTATGGAGTTGTCTGTAGCAATGTTAAGCCCCAGCAAACTTTTTGCTGAGATCTTTATAGGAATATCTATATGGGAATGTAATAGCTAGCTGCTGCCATAAGAACAGAGACTAAAAATGAAGACACTATGCTCTTAGGTGCAAAAGAAAAGAAATGAATTTTACAGATGTGCATGTGCTGAAATATCCAAAACATTTTCTCTGCCTTGATAGCTTCCTCATCCTGCTGCCATATGGTACAAAGAATTTTCCATCTTAATATTTGGAGACTGTTTTTCTAATAGGAGCTACTAGATAAATTGGTAGTTTCTTAATAAGCAGGATAAATAAAGTTTATTATTATTTAAAATTAAGACATCAAACCAATTATTTCTTCCTTGTTAAGTTCACTATGAAAAAACCTGTGGAAAAAGACATATGTCATAGATTACTGTATATTCAATGACCAGCTGTTTTAAATTTGGATATTAAGTAATTCACTCTTTTCCATGGCAAGTACTGAATGATTTCATAAATTCTCATATGCCCAACATGTGCCAGCTATACTAGGTTATTGAACATCCAGCTGCTGTTATGATATTAGCTGCCAATGCTAAAACTACTGAAGAGAATAATGAATAACTTCAAGTCACCTAAGGCACAAACTGACACAGTTCCCACTTGAGATGCGTGGGAATACAACATATCTGTCAATTAAAAACTAACACTGACCTACAGTCACATGAAAATTAAGTGCCAAGAGTTCATGTTCATTGTTTAGGGTGGAAAATTAATGCCCAATCAACCTGTATGAAGATTTCTCCATTTCCATGAGTTGTCCTAGATGTATAGGAATGTCCCATAAACTACACATACAGTTTGCAAGATAGATTCTATTGGGTTGTAATTTGCTTTTCTTTCTTACATATCATAATTCCTACGCAGCTCTTCCATGACATGTCTTACATAGCTAAACTGCTAGATTTTTCAATGATCATGAGAAATTGATTATGAAAATTTGATTCTTCTAAGTACAAGTATTTTAATGCAATTGAGGAGTCAAAGGTACAAACCCCCCCCTTAATTCACAAACACACAAAAAAACCAGAAAAAAAAAAATCCATACAAAAAAAGAGAGAAAAGCAGCTAAACAAAGTGACAGAAAGAATTCTCCAGAAAGGACAGTCAGCACAGAAATATCCACCAAAATACGTCACTAATAGATTTTAAAAGCTGAGACTTCCTTGCCTATTAAATTACTGGTTGTAGTTACAAAAGCTTTACAGGTGAACATAACTTTCATCTTCAGGTCAGCATAAGTAAACACATTAGGATACACTCTCAAAACAATCATGCCATAAAGCACGCCCGTTTCATTTCTCAAAATTAGCTCTGTTAAGGGAAGTAATTTTGAAATTATCCTAGAAATCATGAGGAAGATTAGAGTATTACTATATTGATGTAAATGTACACCAGCTATAGGACAAAATAATTATTTAAAAAAAACCTCCACAAAACCAACCATTCACATTTGCTGGAGCTGGATCATCTCCAGTACACAAAATATACAATGCTCAAAAGCCACATTAAAGAAGACTTCAATAACCTCCACTTCAAGCAGTCTATATATAGTAGTTTAAGTATAAAACATAATTTTCAGCATGCTTTATTTGAAAAAGATTAGGAATATATTGACAAATTAAAAGCATGTCATGCAGAGATTTAAGATGCTTATAAAAGCTCAAGCAAAGGGGCAAACCACATCAAGGGGCTTAAAGAAAACTCAGACTTTAAAGCTTAAAAAGCAGCTCATTCTTTTCATACCTTAATTATGAAGTTGCAAGTAATTCCGTTTTCAGTCACATGTTCTTGACATTGCAAAAACCCCAACACTGTTATTTTCCCAAATATTAGTAGACTTACTTTGCTTTAAGGAAATCCACTACTTGTTTGAAGTCTGCCACGCAGTATTCTCTTTTCATGTCCATGAGCACGCTGTCAGAGGCTGACTGGACAGGTATGTGCAGAAAAGCATATACTCTTGGATGATTGAGAATCTTTGCCATTTCCTAAGAGTTATTCAAAGAGATAAAAAGCTTTCAAACATTACGAAAACAACACACAAAACTCCTTTAAATTAATATGTTGGGTAAGTATCAGTAGTAATACTTCTGACACCCAAACAACACTGAGTTGCAGTGGCCCAGTTTGAAATAGCAGGGACAGGTGAAAATACTTGGAAGCAATTTTGGTTTTAACCAAAATAAGAAAAGCTATGGAACTGCATTTCCTTTGGGATAGGGATGTCATTCCCTACATAGTATAGGTTATTCAATTAAGAGAAAATTTCAGAGGCAAAGCATTGTGAAAGCTGGTGCTTTTCAGACAGTAGCTGTTTTTGATTTTGGAAGATGGCAAGGGTTAGCTGCTCTCTTGTCAGAGTCAAGTTCTCAGATACCAATAGAAGAATGTCTCTAACTGGAGTATCCTTAAGCTTGGCCACCTACTAATAAAGGTATACCTGGCCATTCGCAAACGTGCTCTGATACTGGTCTGAAATATGCTACCTGTGTTATTTCAAAGAATTTTCTCCAGGAATTAGAACCGTTTCACTATAAAATGGGTAGAATTAATCGGGGCCAGGTAAAAGCAGAGTGGAAGCTTGGAAAGAGACAAAGGATATTAAACATTTTGTACAAATACAAACGGTCAGAAAGAAAACAAAGTAAAGGCAATAGCAAGATGCAAACAAACCCCCAAATTAAAGTCAATCCAAACCCCTGATTGAAGTTTGGCAGGGTGATGGAACATGAGGTGGAGAATATTTCCACCTCATGGAATACGTGTGAGGTGGTCACATTTCTTTCATTTCTAGTATTTACACAATTAAGGACATACAGTCTAGCAAGGAAGTTTAAATACTTTTAGAAGTTGAGCAAAAACTAGCATCTAGGTTGTACGCAATATGGTACGATCTGGCCTGTTAATCTTTACCCTGCAAAATGCAAGTGAACTTGGACAAAGAATCATATTTACATGTACAAGCAGATTTTCACTTAAGGTTTTCCCTTCCTCCCCGTGCACTGAATGTACAGGATACGGCCTGGGACCAAGCGCTGCAGTGCCTGCTCTTCTGCCATGTGCATCCTGCACACCCCTGTCAGGCTCACCCATGCTATTTCTCCTATTTTCTTTGACAGCATAAATACTCTGTCTGACAACACATACTGCTGCCAGATTTACTTTTTAAATTACAACTATTTACAAATTCTTTCCAGATCATTAATCAGTAATATTAGTCACACATCTAGATTTTCTATCTGTATTTCTACAAGGCCTAGATTGTTCAATGAGAGGGTAAACATCCTCCTGCTTTTTAATTTTCAGGTACCTGCCTTTTAAAAACACTGACTTTTAGAGCAACAAGAGAAAACGCTCTCTTAGCACACACCTTTCATCTGACAAACATGCATACAAAACCTGAATTCACTTTTTGAAAGCAGTTTAGAAAGTTTCTGCCTAAGATCCTGCTACATAAACGTCTAAGAGAAATGGTTACATTATTCAGTGGGATATCTACTCTATCTCAAGTATGTAAAATAAACATCACTGTAATAACTATACTTATAATGGAGAGCATACAATTTGATGCACAGAAAGGCTATGTGCAATGAACCTGGGTCTCAGTGGAAGCTGGAGTTAGCTGGCTTAATGAATAAAAGAGTAAAGAAAAGGCCACCATGCATCCATACAAATTTTATGCACCTATTTCAAATTAAGTCATTAGCCTATGCCCTTAGTAATTCTAGATATTCAGCTAGAATATATTTTAAAAATGAAATGGCATAGAACAAGTTCTGTAAAATCAAGTTATTTACCTGATTTTGTTATTAGGAAAACTTCCTTTATCTTTTAAGCTTTAGAAAATACTGTAAACGTAGTTAATTTGAAGTATCCTAGTAGTCATCTGTGATTTTTTTACTTATCAGTAATAAAATATGTCTCTAAAATATGAGAAATTGCAAAAGGGCTGGAAACTAAGCTATGTACCACAAGCCTATTACTCTGCTTATCTCTTAGTTCAAAGCAGTTCAATTATCAAAAACAGAGTTAAAAGAAACCAGTAAAAGGGAAGATTCATAACATGTTTCTGAATCTGCCAAGTTCTTAAAAATAACTCACCCTACAATGCAGAAAAAAAAGAATTCTTTCTTATTCATTTGATTCTTGAATTTGGCATCTTCTGAATTAACAGCCTCTTCAAAATGTGATCACTGATTTTTTCTTTTTAAGGTAATAAATTGTTTACTAGAATTTCTAGCTACAGAAGTGTTATTTCATTCTAGCATTTCTAAGGCTGAGAATCATTTGATAAGGAAAACCCCCAGATTTCGATCCCAAACACACATTTAAAAATTTAAGACTTTGTTCTTTCCTCTTTGCATTCATACTTAACAACACTTACTTTTTAAGGGTTGCTTTTTAACCTTAAAGTATGGATTGATTCTTTCCATGACAGTAGCTACTTTTAAACTGTGTACAAACCTAGCCCTACATTGCAGAACAGCAGGAGCTAGCAATAAAATTTTCAAAAAGCACAACCTTGTATTTACCTGTGTTAGAGGCACCACACATAGCAAAGAATGAGAAACTACCCAGTTTTATCACAAAGTTCTGGGGTTTAAAGTTAAAAGTAAGGAAATTCTCTAGTTACGTGAAAATGCTGGTTTAATTTGTCTTCCTCTCTTCTTTGCCTTAATAAATATGAAAATTCTGCTGCAAAGTATGAAAAATGAAAAACAAATCTGAAAATCTAAAATGTGTTTTCCTACCTAGAGGATCTCAAGGAAACACCCAACCAACCCCTAACCCACTAGTTACCTATCTTAAGGTAACCTGCAGAATCCTGAGATAAAATGCACATACAACACACACACACTGTTATCTGGAAACCCTCATCCAACCTAGCTGCTATGGTCACAGGTTTCGGGTATGTTCTGGACATTCAAAGCTCCTTCTAGAGAAGAGGAGGTTGCAAACAACTTTTTCTAGCGTCAAGCCCCTTGCTTACTTTCTGTATGTAAAGCCACACAAAATAGGCTGCATGTGCTTTAAGCACTTAAGTCCCATTGAGTATATTATGTACAGGCACAGATCTGAATCAAAGGCCCTACTGATAAACTGTACTTCAGGATCATAACTATTAACGTGGTGAATTTAGCAGAATGTAAATTATGAACACATATTATTAACACAAACCAAACAAAAGACAGAAACACCTGATGACCCACTGCTTGTTTGTCATTCACTTTCAAGTACCACTGGTGTTCTTAAACTCATCTTTTATAACCAGAAACTTGGAGTGAGCAGTTCAGAAAGAAACAGAGTAACAAACTAAGTAAAAGTTTTGCATGATTACATCACAATTCTGGATAAATCCATCTTCCAAACTTCGTAGTGTTCAGATATAAATATCATACTCTAACACAGAGCTTTAAAGTAATACTGTTCCAGTCTTACCTTTTATCCTGCCTATACCTAAAATGATGCTGAAGTACTTCACCACATAGGTGTGATCAAATTACAGCTATGTGCTGAACAATCATACTTAGTCAATGCTGACAGATTTTCCCACGCCATGGACTGCACACAGAATACTAGATTTCATCGCTTAATGAAACTATTAGTTAATATCCCAGAGAGAAGTTGAAGGACATCATGGGCTAACGCATAATTGTACTTCACAGTGTCTCAACATTGTAAGCTTAACATCTGTTTCCTGTTGGTTTATATATATATACACATATATTTTTTTTTTTTTGCAAAGTGCTTTGCATTACTAGATATAATTACATATTTCAGTTAGAAGAAAAATGCAATATAGAATTTTATTTCCATCTGGAAACAATAAATGAACAACTTTCTGAAATCGTATGACTGTGAAAAGAGAGTTTCTGTCTTTAATCATGATTGAAACAGCTCATTCCCTTTACCTCTTATCCCCTGGAATCTAGTAAGTCTATGAACGAAGGGAAGCCCTACATGAAAATGATACTTCATGTAGGAATGAAAAGGTCAAATAGTAGCACGATTTGGTTTAAGCTAACTTTACAAAAAATAAAAGCCATCTACATTTGGAATCTAACAATGTATGTAAAATATCCTTTAGTGTACTGAACACATAGGAAATTTATTTTTTTTTTCCCCAGTTCTTAGCAGCTGGAGTACATCAGAACACACGGCACACTGCCAGAAAGATTTTTATCTAGTCAGTGTATTTTATCCTAGCAATTACAATACACAAGTTTAACCACCTAACCAGAAAATCACTCCTTCCGTTTGTAATGACACCATGTACAACCACAGAGAATCATGGAGACAATAAACATCAATATCTGTGCATCTTTATGCCTGTACTAGCAAGCTGTTCAGAGATTCCTTCCCCTAACCTGAAGTAGGCAAAAATCCAGTATTTGAGTTCTGCCTATGTTTGAGTCACGATGATGTGAATAACCTGCTTCCTAGCAAAAGGATTTTGTCCTCTGCCAGCAGTGAAGCCCAAAGAAACCCTCATCCATATGGAAACATTACCAAATGGCACTGCCTCAAAACTTCTTTCCCTGTGGCAGATGTTAGTTAGGGATATGTCATGAGGGATGTCTGCTGACTGTTGTCTTTCAGAGGCCCAGTGGTGCCACTAGCAGCATGGTCTGGATAAAAATCAAGTGGCTGCAGCCCATTTTATAAATTCCTGTGCTGCAGTACAGTTCCGGAACAGATGTGATGTAGAGATGCAGGCATGGCAACGATGACACAGTCTGATCAAGTCTGGAAAGCTCATAACAGTTTTCTTAAAACTAATAAACAGGGAACCTTCCCCCTGCTTCCCACCCTCTACGGGTAAAGAGGCTGTAAAAACCTAAGGAGGTGTAGGATGTATAATGGCGAACTTCCCCAAGGACACGGGCTGGAAGGCAGTGCCTCCCCCTCATCTATATATGAAGTGGGAGAGATAAAATGAAGCTGTATGATGGGCAATCTTAGCTACCCCATGTAATATGACATGACT